TACAGGTAAATGATCACTAATATCATTTAGAAGTAATCCACTTGACATTTTGCTATCAATATCATTAGTCAGAAAGAAGTATAGCTACACAACAAGCAGGCGTGACTGGATTTGAAACAATAGCTGATCGATCAAACGTGGTGGCATAAATTTTGCCTTGCTGACAAAGTTAACTGTTCATCATTTTACGCTCAGCCCAAGGCAGACGTAGCATAAATTAATATAACATTACAGTGGCAATAGTGTGAAACCTCACAGCTTTAATCTTATTTTAGCTCAGGTTGCAACAAAGAATATTTTGGACACTCCATATCTTGAAAATAAAAATCTATATTTAAAACTTACTCTCTCTCTTTCTAAGCACAACCATCTGTGCCCTACGATTTGAAACAGTTGTTTCTTTTAATAAAATGCAAATGAGCTGGGTTGTTTTTATCAAGGGGACCCCCCAACCCACCCCTTCCCCCTTTCCCTGACTGCCACAGTGGGCCTTCACAGCTGGGGGCTGAATGCTCTCCAAGCAGCTTGTGACGGCGTGGTCCCTGCTGCAATGGGCCTCAGCAGCCCGTGGATATAGAGGATGTGCCCACTCAGCGTAAATGTGGGGGAAAATTAAACTTCTTCCATAACACCCTGTGGCTTTGTGAGGCAGCCACATTATGAACATGAGGTCACATGCTCCACACATTTCGGAGTTTGAATGGCACAGTTGCATCCCAATTGCCCGACTGGCATGAATGAAAACAATAAGGTTAACAAAGACATCTATCTCAGTATTTTGGAACTGTGTAATGAAGCTTTGCAGTGGGTTTTGAAGCCAAATCAATCTCCCCTGCTAAACTGGATGAGACTGGCCCATTTGAACCACAGAGGTATTTTTGGTGCACTTGTCCCTAATGATAGGGCAGCAGAGTAGGTGGAGGGGGAATAAAATGGGTAAATTTAGCACACTGTATAGCTCAGGCTAGCAGCTATTCTTTTCCTCCTTTTAATGTAACAGTACAGTTCACAGAGCTGCTCCACAGCCAAAGACTGTTGGTAACACTTCATTTTTTGTAAGTAGCAGCAGATAGAGTGGCTGTGAGAGTGAGACAACAACCCAACCACTTTGGACTCCTTCATTATGTCTTGGAAAAAAATTGGTAGAAAGCTGGTGTTTATACCCTTCGCTTCCTGATATTTCACTGCATCTTACAGAGTGCAGTCAAGACAGATCACATCAGCATCAGCTCTCAGAGGTTAATATGTGGCAATATAGAATGAGCCTATTGCTCATCTTTTTGTAGGCTTAAAATCTTGTATGAGTCTCAGGACAGAAAGCATTTGAGCCAGCAGCATGTCAGGTAATAAAAATAATATTGGCTATGATATAAAGACAGAGAAATTTAAATTGGAGGTAATCATTATGCATGTTTTACAGGGATTTAAAGTATGAAATACAGAGCTTTTGGCTCATGAAATTGTTTTTTATTGTTGCCAACATTGCCAGTCTCCATTTCATTAAATAGTGAGTCATGAACCACAGAAAAATATCACAAAAGCAAAGCAATATCATTTATATAAATGACATCCAAGAAAAGGCCTAAAAAACTAAACACTACATTCAGTTATTATCAAGTAAGAAAAAGAAAAAGACATGTACTCCATTGTACTTGACTGCATTTGCATTGGAAATGATGTTTGCATTGGTGGACTTTTCCAGGTTTAAAGGGGATTTTTATTGATGGGAAAAAGTGAAGTATACTCACATCACCAGCAGCAAGCAGGGCACCATTTGCCTCTGCCATGTTCATGTAGTTGTTGTTATTCTGGAACTGCAAATAAAGACAAAAAAAAAAACACAATCAGCCTACTAGTGTCCAGATAACAGCCAGTGTAACCCAAGCTTTTCATAATGAACACCTGTCACTCAAACAGATTGTCACACTTGGCTCAGAATGTTTACACACCGAGTTAACCCCTTTCTCCACATGCACAGGTGTGTTCTGCCACTCTGCTACATGACAAGAGGCAAGTGAGAGGCCCGAGCCAATTCATACCAGGGTAATGAGAATCTGGTCCAGCTTTTCAGCTCTTATGAGATGGCAATTAAGGATATGTGCCAAGTATCAAGATGCAATGGTAGGTTATTAACTTCAAATAACCTATGGGAGAGGAGTGATACTGAGGGGAAATAAGGAGGCGGAGAGGAGAGTGTTTTAAATATGGGTGCAGCACATTTTTTGGTTTAAAAATTCATTTCACTAACATTAATTTGCTTTTACATTTATCCATGCTTATGAGGAATCTCATTTGGACCCCTCCTAATTAGTGCAAAATAAGTATTCTACTCAAACGTTTACCTCTTAATACTGTATCAGAGTAATAACAGTGTAACGCAAAGCCAATAGTAGTGAAATAGTGAGTTTCACACTGTACTGTTGATAAGCTATTAAAATCCTATAATTTGGTAAGAAATAATATGTTTTCACAACATGCCCCCTGCCCCCTCCAACACACACACACAGCCTGCTGGCAAAATGGCAGCCACTTCCTTTCTTCAGAGACACAACCATGCTGACAGGTAGGAACAATGGGACATAGAATGAAGAATTATGGGGTAGCAGCTGGACCCAGGAGCACAATGCACCTCTCTGTGAGTGAGGAGTGCAAAACCCAGCCTACACGGCTCAGAGGAGAAAGAATCACAGCGCGCTCGCGACTTCACGATGTTCCACTGAGAACACGCTCCTCAGTTTAAACAAAGCTTTGCAGTAATCTCTTTTGTGTGTTTATTACAAAGTCAGTCTCTTAAAACATTATGAGTGATGGGGAACTCCAATAGGCAGAGAGTGAGAGAGAAGAAAAATGGCTTCTTATCTGAGTAGAAGCCAAACAATGGTGGAAACAAATTAAGATCAGAGTGAACTGAGAAGTGCATTAATATATTTTCCAGCCCTTTGTGGTTTTTTCTTTACTCCTTTTCTTCTCAGTGGTTAGTATGTGAATGTAATTACCGAAAGAAGTGCTGCTAATCAACTGCGAATGGTATCCATTAATTAGTCTATGCCCTGGAGAAAGAGTGGTGGAATCAGCAGCATTGTTAACAGTGTTATGCACCAATGGGAAGGGGAGACACAAGCCTTGCTAGCAGTTGCTGAAGAGGGTGGTTTGCACTGCCAGAACCTCCGGTGCCATCTTACCTGGAGCTGTCCCACTAAACTACATCAGACTCAAGCACTGGGGTTTACATGTTTGCACAAATGCACACACAAATGAATAAAAACACATACACGTACAGACTCACAGGTCTGAAGTGAGAAACATCTGTCAGTAGCTGGTCTTGTTTTACTTTCCAGCTGTATGTAACTTTAAAACATGACATGCCTGGGTTACTTCAGCCACTTGCCTGGTAATTACCGTTATCTTGGAAGTGTTACTTTGTCCCCCTTCTTCTTCTTTTAGATAACAAATTGAAGTCTCAGAGATATCCCTCTCTATTGAAGTACTAGGAACATTGTTCTGATTGTGGGAGGAGATAGAGCTTTTTTCTATCCAGTTTAGAGAGAGCAGACAATTGCTCTTCATTGTAAACAGTTTCCTGAGATTTTGGGAAAGAAGAATATAGACAGATCTGTAATTGTCTAATATAGATCCATGTATACTTTGCTGCTTACTGCATGAAAGGAAACAAACTGAGGAACAATTCTGTAAGTAGAGTTGCTTTGTCTCAGGTTCAATGCAAACCTCTTGTTGCCATTAATAGTAACACATTTTCAACTCAATTACTCGTCACGTTACTGGTTAACACAGGCAAGCAGCTTCACAGGCTGCAAGTGTTTATAAATCAGGAAGTGATACATCATTTAAAAAACCCACACAGATATGGTTGAATTATATACCATAGGCACCAACACTGATCTGAATCACATTTGACTCATTAGAGAAAAGACAACCACGTTCAGTCCAAGTGCTAATTGGTGGTGTGAAACTACCTGGACTCTGTTTCTGTGAGTCATGTTTTATTGCGTTTCCAAAGCCCTTTAAGAGTGGTTCCAAATCTCATTAATCTCACATTAATGCTGTAGCATGCTGTGGTGCGACCCAGGCCAGAGCCCTCAGCAGGGAACCAAAACAAAGATGGAAGATTGTTGCCGTTGTTCCCAATTCATTTTTTTTAAGGGGAAGGCATTCAGCTCTCATGTTTGTGGCAGTAGCAAGTGAGTCAAATACCAAATGAAATTAAGTACAATTGGAAGGATCATGCAGCTGATGGTAAGGGAGGGTGCTAAAATGGCAGACAGTGAAGGTTCTGTAATTAAAGTAATGTAGCAAACTACACGAGAGCTACTGCAAACATGCGAAGGGCCAAACAACCATGTATGTGCATGGAGAAGTGTTTTGAAAATGGAGATGGAACAAAAATAAAAAGTTGGGGAAGTCTGATGAGTAGAGTCCCTTAATTTTTGCAAGATAAATGCTTCTAAAACACAGTGAACTGCCCTTAAATGTCTTTGCAACAACTCAGGCAGTGATGTTACACGACTACAAGACTAGTAAAGTACTTCTAGAAGGGAACCACGAGGAAACTACATAAGAGGGTGATTTAACATAGCTGCGGGTTAACAGAGTGAATTTACAGTTAAAGGTGCTCTGTAATATGACTCGCATTAAATGCCAGACATGGCTACATGGTAGAACAAACACTGGGAAATCTGTTTTTATTTCTCCCTCTGCACCACCAGCACATTTCTTCAATAACTGTTTAACAGGAGAGAATTAAGAGCTTACATGGACCCTGATCCTGATATGAAAAGACTCCACTATCTGCATGATTGCAGGCACACAGAAAACCAAGCAACCTTGAGTGAATGGGATGAATATGAATTTCGAGGGTTTTCTGTAAAAGCACAGTGTATTGCCTTTATTTTCATTCTCTGTCAGGATAACAGGAAGGATATTCCTTGAACCCTTCTGAATGCTTCAGTTATTCATTATTAGACAAAATAGTTATAATCAAACAACATATTGCCCTTTTTGGCTTTCTGACTGAAGCCAGTGTAATTTTGATGCTTGATTCCCCCGACCCCCCTCCAAAATCCCAATGCAGGAATATTTGTATGAAAGAATGTCCAGTGGGAAATAAGGTGTTTTACAGCTATTTCAGCAAACAAAATTATTTCAACCTCAGGGCAAACACAATATTGCACCAATATGACCCCATCTCACCCCCAACATGATGGAGTAACCACACAGATCCTATCAGTAAACATGAACTGGACAACCAAGATCCACAGAATACAGGCTTGAAGCCCCTCTGGTAGCACAGCTGCCTTCTCTACATGCATAAAAATCGGAAAATATGCACTAATCTGTACTTTTTATTTGAACATCAAATACTGCTTTGTCAGTGGCCATTAAATGATAAACACTGGGAAAAATGCTTGATGATATAGAGATTGATCAATGCATTTTATTTTCAAATCAGCTTCAGCAGACTTTTCTTTGGTTTTACAGAACTCTCTAAAAGCCTGTGCTATGTGTGTCAGCAGGTAACCAGAATGGACACATTATTTCTCCCCACTGAAATCCACCAAACTAATTCAATCAAGAGCCTGGGCTTTTCCAGAAACATATCAACTGCTGACAAGCTATTTTACAGTTCAGCTTGAGCTCAGTAATCACAGCCTAGCATGTGTTCTCTGGAACATGACACTTGTGCTAATATGTTCTCCAGTGGTCTCCATAAAATACAGCAAAACACCACAGTTAAAACTCAACCTGCAATCTCGAGAAACCCACGATAATTTGCTATGTATTATTTTATGTAATTTCCTTTAAGGCTCGGCCTACTGCCAGGTTTAAGGAGCAGCCCTCTTTCCTTTCTTACACTCCTGGTTGGGCCCTGTTGTAGCCTCTGGGAAAGTTATCTTCTGATTCCCAAGGTCCCCCTAACCAAATACCTGCTCATTTACAACCCAATTCAGCATAAACATGCTGCAGCTGCCTCTCTGGTGATCACAAGGCCTATTCACGCCCAGCAGGCCAGTGTGCATGCAGCGCTGAGCTGACATATATAGATATATTTCCTCCAATGTGTGCAGCAGTCAATTTGTAAAGCGACTCCACAGCACAGCATGTCCACACAGTTGGCTTGCAAGCTGTGTTCTGATCTGCAGGCTGAAATCGATTGGTAATTCAGTTTAAAGCTAAAATCATTACTCCCCCAGCCCAGCACTGTCTTCCAGCATTAGGACTGCTAGTCCTCAACTACATAAGATAGCACTGAGGGGAAGTTCATTGTAAGCCTCTCACTCTTCCTTTGCCTCTCAGTCTGAGTACTGTAAATGTACTGAGGACCTAGCCTGAGAAGAATACATGTGTCTTATCTGGGATGTCAACAAGAATACATGTGTCTTATATGGAATCTCAACAAAGATGATGACAGTTTTGTTCAGGCTGTGTGCTGATTATCTCCTCTCACTCACCACACTGACCGCAGTGCCCTGAGCTAGTGTTATCACAGACTACTTTACATTAATAAACTTGAACATCAAAGAATAGTTTAAACCCTTGTGGAGCTATGAAACCTGAAATGTAAAATCATTTTTCTTGGTACATGTTATAAGAATGAATGGGAATCAGCTCTAACACTACGCTGCCTTTAATTAGTGCTTGATCGCAGTGACTCATTTCTTTTCAGCCACTAGAGGGTCTACTGAGATTCAAAACAAATTGACACCATAGGTCACTTCTAACTGCTCTTTGTCCCTGCTATCACACCCTGTTTCCTTGCCATGATGTAAACTACAGATCCCCAGTTGTGATAAACTGT